CGGGCGGCTTCCTCTGCCCGGGTCGGGAGGGCCTCGTCTCCGGCCGCGCGGACTGCGGCGCTGAGTCCGGGAAGCCGCGGGGAGCCGGCCGGGCACGGTGTGTTTCGGGCTGCAGGTGAGTGGGAGGACTGGGCTGCGGGAGATCTTAACCGTCTGAAAAACTCCGTCTCCTCGCACACCCGCCCGCGCCGTTCCCTGCCGGGACTGTCTGCTCCCGACTCCCGGACTCTGCAAGAGTCCCTGGGTTGGCAGCTGCCCACAGCTTCGTGGGCAAGAGATGTGGCCTTTTATTCTCTGGCTGGGTCATTTCAGAAACAAGTGGTTCTGGAGATGCTGGATGCTTGATTAGAACAAACCGTGTGGTGTCTCTTGAGCAGGGAGATGGTTCCTGTGCATGTGTCTCTGTGTTTTCCTCTCCCTCTCTCCGCATAAACTTTGTAGTCAGGACACCGGCGTGCCAGGTCATTTGGAATAGTGGTAACAGCTGGAGATTCAGACTGTGGGCCTCTTGAGTCCTTGTCCTTGTTTAGATGTGTTAGCAAGGAATATGATCTTGGATGAACCACTTGCCCTCTGGAGTTCAGTTTTCTTATCTGTGAAATGGGCTATCAGAAAGCTAAGTAATCCGATAAAGACAGAAATAGGTTTCTGAGGGAGATAAATGTTTTTCCTTGTACAGTTAGAGCAGTCACACAAACTAAACTCAGCCTATTCTTATAAAGAATTTAACATAGATTTTAAAAAGTGAGAAGATTCAAAAAGCAAAACAAAAACCAATAGTCAGTACTGGATTTACAATATAAATACTGTTTTTATGCAGGCAAATAGTGGTGTTGACTGTCCATCTGGTTTTAAAGTTGCTACCTGTGCATAGAAATTATTACGTATATTACCTGTGGGCCTCCTTTTTTTTTTTCAGCTTTAAGCCTGGTGCCCAGTTGGTTTAATCTTCGTGGGGCCTCACCTGAAAGACATTTCCCAGATTCTTAATTTCCATATTACACTTTTCTTTCGGTCTGATTGATGCTGGGATCTTTGTACGATCTCACTTCTGCCTTCCCACTCTGGCTTGAGCGGTTGTGAGCTGGTTCCTAGTGCATCTGTCATTTCTGAACTAACCTGTTTTCTTTTCAAGTGGATATAGTAAATAAATAGACCAGCAGTGCACTTAGATGCAGCACATTAAAAATAACTCCAAGCAATAGAACCCCCTCCCTCTACCCCCCATCCCCTCTATCCCCTGGGCAGTCTCTCACTGGAATTCTGGAACCGTTTTGGATGCTGAGGGCCATCACAGAATGGAAATGGCTGGGGATAAATAGCACTTTAGTGATCGAGCATGGTGTTAGACAGTGAGGGATATTTTATTATAACCAAGTACTCCTCTGCTGTTCTCTTCTTAGTAGCACTTAAAGTCCATATTGTGTTGGACCACATCATTTTCAATATTTCTTTTTGTTTTTGTTTTCTGTTTTGGTCAGTTTCTGGAAGATGCAGTAGTGGTTATATCTGAGTTTTAGATGGTGGTAAAATGATATTTTGAGGTAAAAGCTTGACAGTTGATTGAGTCTTTAAAATATCAGAAAGTTGTTGAGGATTGTTGAGTCCAAATAGCCTTTTTTAATGGTGGAAAAGGAATTCTTAGCTGTCCTACAGAGTTGTGATAATTAATGAGATCATGTGAAAAGGATCCTGTAAACTCTAGCATGGTCTCTAACCCCGGACATTTTAACGTAAGTGCAGGTAGACCCTGAAAGCAGTCCGGTGTCTGATGGTAGCCTGTCTCTGACTGCTGTGAGCCTGGTTTCTGAGTATGTGAAATGAGGGTTAAACTGTCTGCCTTGTGTTACATAAGATGCACCTGTGAATTGCAGCGGGCACTCAGTTAAGGTTGGGCACTCCGAATAATGGGATTGATTAAGTCTTCCAGTAGGAATTGTCCTCGGAGGAAAAAAGCTTTTAAAGCACATTTTTGTCCTTATGAATAATTCTCCCAGCTTTTGCCCCCCTGCCTGTACCTGCAGTGAGTATTCTAGGGCCCATGATCATTGAGTCCAAAAAGAAGGATTTGAGTAAAACCAGAAGCCAGAAAAGACAGGTCTTTGGTAGGAAATCGAAGGTAGATGTGTAGGGTCTTGCGAAGTTGCCTGGGCTGACCTGGTACTCTTGATCCTTCCACCTCAGCCTCCAGAGCAGCTGGGTTACAGGGGTGTGCGACCACATCTGGCTCCTTTTCATTCATTTGTTCGGTGGGGAAATGGTACTGCCTTTGAGGGGCTTCTGGCTGATGGAAGGCCCTGGAAGGGGAGCCGCAGCACGAGGTGGGACGGGAAGAGGGGGAAGGAAATGAGCAGTTGAATGTGGCTGATAATGGAAGCTGGAAAGTTTGGCGCAGGGTAATCTCTATTAGATGTAGGATTTGGCTAAACAAGGGGCCAGTTTCCACCTCGCCCTGTAGTCTTTGAGCTTCCTGCAGATTCTGACTGGTTGTGGTGGCATTGTAAGTGAGTTTCCAGAGTTAAGTTGTATGCTGAAAGGGAAATTAAATTCTAAGAGGGTGTTTGTTGTGACTGATGCCAGAATTTCTCAGAATTTTATTAAGATTCAGTCAGTCTGTAAAAGTACTTCTTAGTTCTCTGAAGATATTAATTAAGAAATTGTTTAAAAAAAAATAGAAGTATCTCCTTTGTGAGCCTTTGAGGTGTCATCTTTTAAATCTTTATAACAAATGAAGTTCAAAACATCATAGAGATTTGTATTTTAAAAGCTTTTCTTCTTGAAAGAAATGTTTTCTTTCTCTTCTCATTCCTTTCCTCTTCTCACATTGTTTTGATAATGAGTTAATTTTGGTTTCTTTCACATTTTGGCAGCCTAGCTTTTATATTTGTAGAGTTTGCATGTGTCTTCTTTTGGATTAGTTCTTGCTTTCTCATTATGAAGGGGTGGTCCAGGAGGGTGATGAAGAGTGCACCCTGGGAGCTGCTGGGGGGCTGGGGACAGTCTCTGGAGAGTTAGACTCAAGAGGGGTTGATCGTGTTATTCCCAATGCATAGATGTGGAAATGGGACAGAAACATGCATGTGTCCACTCAGTTGTTGAGTTGGTGATCTGTGGGGTGCCATAACCTGTCTCCCTGGCTGCTGGAAAGGCAGGCAGGGGCTTTGCTGGCTGTGCTGGTAGGAAGCTGTCCTGTGGGTTGGGAGCTTCCGTAAGGGAGAAAAGGTGAGGTCTGTGTTGTGGGCAGATGGCTTGGTAGCACATGTGCAGTGTGAGGTGGAGCGAGCAGCAGTTCGCAGAGGAGGGTGTCTGTTAAAGTAGTCAGCTGCAGAGGTGATGAGGACTTGAAAGTAGACGTGTAGACAGTGGCTGTGGTGATGTAGAGGAGGGGGCATGTTAGAGTCCAAAGAGCTCAGTCCCTCTGGATTTTGGAGTTGGGAGCAGGAGAAATCAAATCCGGGCCTTTCTTTTCCTCGCCTGGCCTTGTCCCCACTGCCGTTCTGAGCGCCCAGGGCTGTGTGTTGGAGGTGCTAGCTCCCCATAGACTCAAAACAGTCTTCACAGAAACCGAAGTATCCTCCTTCGGTCTCTTGCTGACAGCTAGAGACAGAAGTCTGAGTGCAGTCTGGAAGGGCCTTAGCCTTTCTGTGCTTAGCCCTTGATCTTGCTCCTCCTCTGCAGAGGCTTCTCAGATCCAGTTTAGGGAAATGCTGGCTTGAACATTTCAACCCCAAGCAAAGAGTGCTAAAGCGAAGATGCCACCTGGGGTGCACCCTGTACCTCATTGTTCCCTGGGAACACCCCAGGGGACTGACTTATTCCTCAGTTCTGGCTTTTCTGTAAGAGCTGATATGCCCCGGGTGGGACTGGCTTGTCACCAAGCTTGCCTTGGTGGCTGGGAAAGGAGTGAAGCGTGCGTGAGTCGTAGGGGGGGAATGGTGGCCGCCCCCCCTCCCCCCCAGTGCTGCAGTCTTTGAGAAGCCAGGCCGGCTCAGGTGGACCACAGTCCGCATGGGGGTAGAGGGGTGCTTGGCCGCTGTCCTCATTGTGGGACACACTTGCCGTGTCGGGATATGCTGGTCCTCTGCCCTCTCTGCCAGTCAGTGCCAGACACAGTAGTAATCTTGCTTGTAGGCTTCCAGAATTCATAATGCCCCCTGCCCTTTGGAGATTTTGTTCTTGGTTTGGCCGGGCTGGAGACTAGGTGGCCAGGTCTGGCTTTGGCAGCTACCTCAGTGCTTCCCAGCATCCTCAGCTAATGCCCAGTTCTGCTGGTGAGTCTTTGTGTAGACTCCTCTGGCACTTTCTGCTGGACGCTTACTTTCCCTAGAAGAGGTGACCTCTCTTTTCTTGTTCTAAGGGGAGTGTTAAAGGCGCCCAGTCAGTTTGTATGGTAGAAGACTTGCCAGGCAGGGCACATGTTTTAACTGGAGAAAACTCTTTTTGCCTACGGGCATTAATTGTCATGCCTGTCTTTTGAACATTATGTCCTAAGCAAAGCCTCTTTGCTGTTCTTTGTGTGTGTGTGTGTGTGTGTGTGTGTGTCACACGCGTAGGCACATGCATGTTGGGGGGTATGTTTGCTTTAGTTATTACTGAGAAGCAAAAAAGGTACTTATCAAATGTTTAAATCTACAACAGTGCCACTGCTCTGGCAAACGAAGAATAAATATATATTTCGCCAGCATACCATTGATTTATCCCCATTTTCCATATTTTGGCAGAACCATCTGATTTGTGTACTGGTGCAGCTTGGGTTTCAGTAGTGAATGTGAAAAGGCTCCTGGGCTTCCTGCCGAAGTGGAGGGACTCCAGGGAGTGGGCTTCAGGGCTGCCAGGCTTGGCTGTCTGTGCCTGGCATCCCAGGAGCATGGCAGTGGCAGTCGGGGTGGTGGAGTCTGGCCAGGCACTTTCCTTGGCATGCCTGAGGGCAGCTCTGTTCGTGACAGTGGGAGGCTTCCTGTCTGGTGTGGGAAAGGGAGTTTTCTCTTAATCCCAATTTGGCTCTTGTGTCTTCCTGTGGGGGTGAGAGGGAAGAGGGCTCTAGAGCTGATGAAGTAGGGAGATGGTAGGTTCAGGGTAGGGCGGGCTGGCAGCTTGTGCAGAGCTTTTACCAGT